AAATGTTTTAGTATATTGAATTCTAAAAACAATTTAGCTTTTGATGTGGGCCTGGGTGGGAAGGGATCTTACCTAAGTGAATAAGCTATGTTGAAAACGTGGAGAATATGTTCTACTTTTCATAAAAATTGCATTTTATAAAAAAAGACCAAGTGGTACAATATAGAATACAGGGACATTATAGATATTTCTATTTGAAGAAATGTAGCAAGTTTTCTATGACCTAGTCTACATCTCTAAAGAGATTTTAGAGAAAGATTCATGTGGTAGATTCTAAAATCTACTACATGTGTTTTTGAATTACTCGTATAGAGTAGCTATAAATTAATATGACAATATAAATTAAATGAATCAGGTACAGCAGTAATAGAAAATATATGAAGTTTGAGTGGCATAATTGTATGATCATATCTAAGGCATGCTGATTTTTCTGAAGATTTTTCTTTAAAAGAAATAGTTTATTTATTTATTTATTTATTTTTTATTTATTTTCCCCCCCAAAGCCCCAGTAGATAGTTGTATGTCATAGCTGCACATCCTTCTAGTTGCTCTATGTGGGACGCGGCCTCAGCATGGCCGAAGTGGCGCGTTGGTGCTCGCCCGGGATCCGAACCCAGGCCACCAGCAGCGGAGCGCACGCACTTAACCGCTAAGCCGCGGGGCCAGCCCTGAAGATTTCTTTTTATAATATAACATTTTCATTGTACTTGGGAATTTGCAAGTTCTGGTAAATGTAATATGTCCTTTACTCTCTCACAGGGCACAGGTATTTTAAAGAAAACTCCATTCTTCATGGGACAATGAAATAATTTGTGCTGACTCAAAATTGAGTGTTATCAGTTTTATTTATTTAGTAGTTTATTACTTAGTTTTATTTTTGAAAAGTTTATTTTAGAGAGATAAATTGATTAAGTGAAACAAAACTGTTGGGGCAGAGATTTATGTTATATTTTTGCAAAAAGCTATGCTATTTTCCTTAAGGCAAGATAATTTTTAAGAAATGGATTTCTAAATATGTATAATTTATATATATAACATATATATAAAATTTATTTTACCAAATAAGTGGTTCAAATGCTTCATTGTATGTGTTATCACATACTTATTTCCTTGAACTTTTCCTGAAATACTTTGGATTTTGTTATATCAAGTGGCTTCATCTACCTTTGACCCAGATCTTCTCTCCTGGAAGATAGAATTTACTGTAAATTTATAAATGTGTGATGAGTCCAAAAGTGGTAGTAAGGGTGTCAGGCAGATATCCATCATGGTGAGGAGTTAATATCTGTGTCTGCATTACATTCTAATTGATGGCTCCGTCTGATGTTTGAAAAGCGTTAAATTGCTGATGTACATGTGATGGAATGCCCATTGTCAGGCTAGAAATGAAAACTCTGCCTCATCACTGCAGTTGGTTTTTAAATGATTTGTACAGAAATGACTTCGAATGTTTGTATTAAAGGTCAAAATTAGAGATCTCACATTTCTGTAGTAACTCCTGTGTGCCAAGTCTTCCTTGAGCATAAACTATGCTCTACAATTCAATTTTTGAAAAAGCCTTTAGAGAGAAAGACTCGGATTCATTAAAATGGGAGGAAAAAAAAAAATCTAGAGCACCATATTGGGACAGTGTCTAAGTAAATTAATCAGTAATGCATGAACTGAACAGTTAAAGAAGTAAATATCATAATATCATGTCAAGATAGCAGGAATTTATTGATGTTTAAGCCAAACAAAGAACAAATGACTAGTACTAAGAAGTTGCCATATTTTATAACATACATGAAAACAAATTGGATTGTGGGGTATTTAATATTAATTCACCATGCACTTAGTAATCTCATATTTTTATAAAACCACAAATCACCTTAAGAAGTATGTACCCAATATCACTTTTCTCAGTCCAAAGAATTATTCAACTTTGGATCTCACGTTCCACTTCTGTAATATGAGAGGTTAGAATTATGGATTTTAGAGATTCTTTATTTCTACTACTTTCAGGTTTTTCCTATCCTCTAGTACTTTCTTCTGTGTTTTTTTAACCTAATGTGATTTGGAGTCTTCTTCTATCATATCAACCATTTCCAAACCTATCTGAATAATTATCACTAATTATTACTCCATTATTACTCCCTTTCTCTGCTTGTGTTGATGTGATCAAAGACAGAATTCAAATGCTGTACTTTCTTGAATCATTTTGGAAACCAGTCCAAGCAGAAGGGAGCGGGGGAGGCAGGGCAGGAAAGAGAGAGGGGAAAAGAAAGGATTTGCAGAATCATTCCTGAGGCTGCTCTGATACATAGTACCAGATAAACACCTGCGTGATAGCAGTTGGTATGTCATGTGGGTTTTTTTAAAAAATATGTTTGTCTCTACATATAGACTAATGTAAAAAACAAAAAACCAACAACATATATGTATGTGTGTAAGTGTATATGTGTGTGATTAGGCAACCTCCTCCCTTTCTCCACAATGTCTTCAGAATTATATTATTTCTTCTGCATTATTTAATTCATTTTACTTATTCCAACAGTCCTTGACTGTCTTCCCTCCTCTAATAGGAGGACAGAAATGTCCCTTCTAACCCATGTAACACATGCAATACTTAAGGGATGTTTTAGGTTCACTGTCTCAATTAATCCTGATGACAACACTCTGAGGTTTATATTATTATCATGCCCATGTCAAAGATGAAGACCCTGGGTTGCAGAGAAGTTAAGACTTTGGCCCAAGGTCATCCTTTCCTAGCTTTTTCTCTGAATCTCTGGCTCATGTGCTCCATCCTCAGCCACAGCATACCCTCTAGGCTTTTCAGATGGTCCATGCACCATGGATTCTCATTCCTCTGCTTGTTTGTGAATTTTCTCTTGCCTTAATACCCTCCTCTCACACCCCTGGTCTGCCCTAGTTAACGCCTCCTCCCTTGCCAGAAGTACCTCAGAGATCACTTTCTTTGGGAATCTTTTCCCACGTTTTCTGCTAAAATCAATCACCCCTGAGTCGCCCTTGCACTTTGCATATTTTATTTGACTTACTTGATTGTTCACGTATTTCTCTCTCTGATTGAATTGTTCCCTACTTGAGGAATAGGGAGCCATTTATCTGTGTCTTCATTGCCTATCCCGGTACTTGACATGCATCAGATACTCATCTTTATTGAGTCAACTCTGGGTAAGAATGAATCCTAGATTATAAGGTACTAGATGAGAAATCTAGTCAGAATTACAATTTTTATTTTGTAAAGTTTAATATTTAATTATACTTGAACTCTCTTAAACATTCAGAACAGTTTAACTTGTATGGACCTCTGACCGCCAGTATTGGAGCTGTGTATGCCCACAATTCTGTGCATAATGCTGCTCCCTGCTCCCTTTCGTGAAGTCCTTGTTTGTGTCTTTTTCATTAGAGTTCCCTTGTTAAGCACTGGCCCTAAGGCAGTTAGCTAATCAGTTGTCAGTTGAGCTCTGTTCTTCACCCACCGCAGCGGGACACATAGAAAAATCATAAATCATAGTGAGGCGCCTTAGAGTCCAGCTGCGGTGACAAATCTAATACATTGAAAATTTAAGTGTAAATACCTTTAATCTGCAATCATAATACACCAGTGGGTTACTGAATACAGACTGAAGACCACTTGTAGTTAATTAGCCCAGTTATCTTAATACTACTCTGCAGGATACAACCAACTGTCATCTAAAACTGTGTAGGGGAGAAACACCTCCATCTGCCACTCCTGTAGCAAGGTTACAAAACCCAACTCTCCTCTCCTGGCAAAAGGCTTTCCTCCCTGGATAGATGCCATCCCATCTTTTATTTAAAGTTCAATGAGCCAGGCCAATTCATGTCACTAATTCCATGGAACATCTTGGTCTTCTGTGGTAGCCTTAAGTTTTCCCCATCCTTTTGATAACTCATGACTAAGTAATCTACCATATTTTGCTTCTTGTATTTCTGTCGAGTTGCTACTTCATTTAGTTGTTGTGCCTGTTCTTATCCTGAATTCGTCTCTTAGCCTAAGTTTGTGTTAGCCTGAATTTTACATTTCTGGTAATGTAAATCATCTCTGGGTCTTTTTTTTCCCCCTTTAACTTAACAAATCACAGCTTTATTGCTTCTGCCCTTAGTTTTTCTTTTTTTTGGGAGGGGGGAGGATGACTACCCTGAGCTAACGTCTGATGCCGATCCTCCTCTTTTTTTTTTTTCCTGAGGAAGATTGGCCCTGAGCTAACATCCGTGCCCATCTTCCTCTACTTTATATGGGACGCCGCCACAGCACGGCTCGACAAGTAGTGTGTCAGTGTGCGCTCAGGATCCGAACCAGCGAACCCCGGGCCACCGCAGCGGAGCACATGCACTTAACTGCTTGCACCACTGGGCCAGCCCCTGCCCTTAGTTTTCCTTAAAAGTGATTTTGAAAATGTGTAAGCTTAAATTTTGCCATCGTTGTAATACATTATCCTCAATGCAATTGTGCATTTGTCACTTTTTTGTCCTCCTGAGCTTCAAAGGAATAGTGTGTGTATTTTATGTTTTCTCATAGCTTTTCCATCAACTACCTTGTACTTTTTTTGCTCTTCCTTTCCTATAGTAAATATCAATAGCAAAACATACAATTAAATAATTAACTAATATGTGATTTTCTACATGGACAATGTATTTCCCCTGATTATAATCACTAAAATTTTATAGATACCTAATATGGATTACTGTTTTCACCTTGGAGGTTTCTTTTTTTCTTTCTTTTTTCTATTTTTTTTTTGCTGAAGAAGATTTGCCCTGAGCTAACATCTGCTGTCAATCTTCCTCTTTTTCTACGAGAGCTGTGGCCACAGCATGGCCACTGACAGATGAGTGGTGTAGGTGCCCACCCAGGAACCGAACCCAGGCCTCTGAAGCAGAGCACGCCAAACTCAACCACTAGGACACAGGGGCTGGCCCACCTTGGAGCTTTCTTTATTGTTTGTTTATTTTAAGAAAATATACTTCTCTTATTTTTACAGGTAAAAAGATGGCCTATCAGAAGGTCAATGCAGATCAAAGAGCTCCAGGACATTCACAGTACTTAGACAATGATGACCTTCAAGCCACTGCCCTTGACTTAGAGTGGGACATGGAGAAGGAATTGGAGGAGCCTGGTTTTGACCAGTTTCGGCTAGATAGTGCTGAGAATCAGAACCTGGAGAATTCAGAGACTGCAGACCTCAATCTTGATTCCATTCAACCAGCAACTTCACCCAAAGGAAGGTTCCAGAGACTTCAAGAAGAGTCTGACTATGTTGCCCATTATACAAGATCTGCACCAAAGAGCAACCCCTGCAACTTTTGCCGTCTTTCAAAAATGCTTTGCACAGCCATCATTTTATTTATTTTTGGAATTTTGATAGGCTATTATGCACGTAAAAATTGCCCTTCAAATGCTTCGTCATCAGGAACACTTGATCTTCAGTTATACCAAGAGATTCTCAAGACAATCCAAGCAGAAGATATTAAGAACTCTTTCAGGTAGGTGTAAAAAATAGATGCTGGTGGGATGCATTTTCTGGGAATGATGTTTCACAGGGAGTATCAAACTGGTGATTTTGCCATGGTTTAAAGTTAGTCTTGCAAGCTGAGAAACATAACTTACTAGCACACCATTTACAGAGGGGGTGCGTGTTTTCAGATTTATGATAGTGCAATACAAATTTATGATGCTGTTTTATTAATTGATAATAATCATAACTACTATGGAGACTAAAAGACTCCAGCCAGTGCATTTTCTCCCGCTTAGGAAGCCCAGGTAGGCCAAATTGGGATGCAAAGATTGCTGGATATACATGTAATAAAAACTAGGGCCTTAGCCATATGATTGAAATTTTTAATGATATCACAGTAAAATAAACCTGCTTAATGGGATGAATTAACTGTCTCTTATGGTCAAGAACTAAGACAAGCACTGGTGTATTGATTGTTCTATATCCCTGAGCTTCCCAATGAGCACATTTTATGGGAACACATTGGTTTCCACACATTAGGCAGTTCTAAAAGCTTATCTCTCTTTAAGTTTGTATATGACTTCTCTAGCCAGAATGTGTTGATTTTGAAGTTAAATGATAAGAAAATATTCTTTATCTGGCCTTAATTCTGAGTTCTTGGAAAGAGTTCCACTGATGTCGTATAACTAGTGAGTAACATGAAAATTTTGTTGTTATATTATTAGCATATGTGTTGAGTTGTAGAGAGTTCCCTAGCTTATATATTTAGTAAAGTGAGGAGCTGGAAGGGAAAGATTAGCTATTAGCTTCCACATATATCTTCCATATTTGCCAAGCAAGGACAGTCCTAGGGGAATCATATATGTTGTTTGTAGGTAGATGAGGAGAGGGATACTATTTCCCAGGATCTTCTTTCTAGGTTACGCTAACTTCTTATAGCTGAGATGTTGGCATGTGTGTATTTCTAGAGATCTTCTAGGTAGCAGCCCACTGAAGATGCATGTTTTAGACTATGTGTTGAAATATCACGTGTATTGATGTTGGTGAATTATAATTCTCTTCCTGAAGATCAGATCTGAATGACTAGTGGAAATTTATTTTCTACAACCTTCTGTGTCTGCTGTTCACTGTTTCATAAGCATCCCTTGACATGTAGAATGCAAATAATAACACTTTCCATGGTATTTCCCAGCATAAAATTGTTTATATTGAATTGAGCTGAAAGATATTCCATTGTCTTATAATGAGTGATTGTATCAGTCAGGATCCAACCATAACAACAGAAAACTCCCTGAATATTTAAAGCAGAGGGCATTTAAAGTAGAGAAATTATTCTATTAGTGGTGAAAAACTGAGAAACCAATCAGGGACACTGACAGCCTAGAGGTTAACAACAAAATGAAGGCAATACTAAACCTAGGCTGGAGGAACAAAGGGAGTTGGAGTAACTTGGTGGAAGCTGGAACTTTCTGCATACACAAGTGGGGAAGCAGGGGCATGTAGCCTCAGCCAGAGACACCACTGAAGACAGAGAGTAAGAAGTACCACAGCTTCTTCCTTCCTCTTGTCCTGTAGTGTCCTACTAGTTGTCCCACTGGCTGAACTCAGCAGGGACGCTGCTGCCTCAGAGGCTGAGAAACTCATCTTGAAGAGTTCAGCCCCCTGGAGCAGGGGAAGGGCAAGGGGTCTGTCAAAAATAGATCACACTGGCTCAGGAATATTATTAAAAAGAAAGAGAGAGGGAGGGAGGGAGGAAGAAAGAAAATCTAACTCTATAAAACTGTGTCTACTATGACTTCATTGTGGACCTTCATTCTGTTACAAAAGTGTCTTCTAGAAAAGGATCTGTGGGTTTAATTTCTTCTTAATGTTAAGAATAATTATGTTTTTCCTGAGCAACTGCTTAGTTTTTAATTTATGGACACAATAAATTTCATAACCTAGCCTGCTTCCCTCTTTTCTTTGGCTTTTAGAAAGTTCAGAGTTAAATGTGTGTTGAAATCATAAGGAACTTCATGGCATGTGTTTTGTGTACTAACTAGCCTACGTATTTATTTTCTCTCCTTATATTCATTTGGCTTTCTTTACTAATTTTTTTTATCAGCATTATAAGCATCTTTAAAAAACTGACTCATGCCCTCTTTGTAAATAGGCAGCTGGCTCAAAAATTTAAAATGTATAATTAAGTAAAAATATTCATTGTTTCCCTCAGAATAGGAGTTGCATGACAGTAAGGCTTATATTCTCCTCTTAAACTTGAAAATCAATAAAATGTATATTTCAAAGCTAGCTACAAAAATATAACCACCAGTAATTATACTGCTAGTATTCAGTGCTTGGACACAGATTCACAATTATGCTCTGTCAAATAGCCACAGTTTTTTCTTTATTGAGCTAATAGTTTTTTTCTTCAAAAAATATTTTTACAGGGCTGGCCCCGTGGCATAGTGGTTAAGTTCGGTGCACTGTGCTTTGGCAGCCCGTGTTGGTGGGTTCGGATCCTGGGCACAAACATACACACTTGTCAGCCATGCTGTGGTGGCAACCCACATATAAAGTAGGGGAAGATTGGCATAGATGTTAGCTCAGGGCTAATCTTCCTTAGCAAAAAATAAAAATATTTTTTGGTACACATATGTTTACCGTAACTTTCTCTGAATAACATTTCCTCATCCAAAGACAACTGTTTCCCCAAAAGTCATGCTAACCACATGCCTTATTATGAGTTCCTAAGTCATTGTAGCCTTGACTCTGTACATCATAGGTTCCTACTGTTACTTTTCATCAATTTATGATCAATTTGGGGCTCTCACTGACCCACTACTTTATTCATCAATTGCTATCTCTCTTCTCTCTTGGTTTGCATTCCTGCCTATGCTCTAAGATTATGTCAGTTCTTGCCAAACATCCTAACAGTTGTGCAATATAAAAGATATTCTTTTTATAATAGATTAGACTGCAGACTCCATGAGGGAATGGACTCAACTTGTTGCCTGCCATTAGACTTCTATTGTCTAGCAGACACTGAATAAGTATTTTTCTAAGGGAGGAAATGAATGCACGAATAAGTGAGAAGAGCTTTGTTTTTAATTGATCAATTATATTATGTATTTTGAAAATCATTTTACTATCCATTTAGATTTCTCATATTACGATTATGTTCAAAACATGAATATAATACTTATTTATAATATAATTATAAAATACTATTTTATGTTATATAATTATAACTAATCTGATTTTAAATAGGTGACAACTCATATCAAAACCAGATATTGTAAAAATGTTAAAGTATCACTATTGGTGTCTCAGTTCTATCTGAGGCTTGAAGAAAATTGATACTACATTTCTAATTAGGACCAGCATTCAGAACTTGAAAAAAAAAGAAAAAAGATCATATTAAACCCTGAGATGATCACCTGATTGTAGCCTATGAGAGGTTGGAGAAGCTAAGAAACAGGAGACTGGAAAAAGAGGATTTTTGGAGAGAGCTAAGCTGTGCTAGTGGTAGTGTAAGTCCCAGTCTCTTAAGGAAGAAGCCTCAAGTCCAGTGAAAACAAAGGATTTAGTAGAACTACTTGGAAGAACTTGATATCTGCCTCACACACAGTGTCTAACTCCTACCTAAGAAATCTGAGTGATAAGACATGGACTGGATAGTTGCTGATAAAAGTGCAGAAGAAGAGGTGGTTGCTTTGGGTGGCCTATGGCAAAGTTGGCTTCTATAGATTCTATCCAGGCAGAGATAGAGAGAGAATGTGAATGAATGAGAGAGAGAGAGATCACTATGGTCTGAATGTTTGTGTCCCCCCAAAATTCATCTGTTGAAATCCTAATGCCCAGTGTGACAGTATTAGGAGGTGGGGCCTCTGGGAGGTGCTTAGATCATGAAGGTGGAGCCCTCATGATGGGATGAGTGATCTTGTAAAAGAGGCCCCACAGAGCTCTGTAATCCTTCTACCGCATGAGGATCCACTGAGAAGGAATCCTCTGTGAAACAGGAAGAGGGTCCTCAACGGCCACCACACCATATCTGCCAGTGCCAGGATCTTAGACTTCCCAGCCTCCAGAATCGTGAGATATAATGTTTGTAAGCCAACCAGTCTGTGGTATTTTGTTAGAGCAGCCCAAACAGACTGAGAAAAATGTAGAAGGAGTCTTGTAGATCTTTTCCAAGAAAGCTTCCTGGATGGCTGAACAGAACTTAGCAGAGACAGAGCTAGAGATATGGTCAGATGCCTGGGGACTGTGGAAGGATTAAGCATGGAGCTGGAGGAGAACGTATTATCCATGTCGAAGGAAGATGAGAAGTCCCCAGTCATGGGATGGATGTCCAAAGAACCCACAGAGCAAGCACTAGAGGAAAATTCAGCTGACAACTCCTGCTAGCTTCAGAGAGTACCATGCCGGTTCATGAGAGTATGTGTCAAGTGAGAACCTTTGCTCCCACTTTACCTATTCTCACTTGCTGTGTTTCAACTCTGGAAGTGTCAGAAGCTCTGAGGGAGGAGGTGTAGAAGCACAAAGCAGAGAAGAAGCTGAATACTCCCCCTTCTTTGACTGTAAGGTTCCCAGTCTAGAGATGGTCAAAAAATGGGGAAAAGTTCAAAGTTCTGACTGTTAAATGACAATGAACATTTTAATTACTCACTGGAGGAATCCAAGTCACTTAACAGTGACCAGGATTACTGGAGTTTTTTATCCAGCAACAGGGAAAAAACTAGCCCCAATAATTAATGTAAATGGGAGAAAAAAAAGTGCTTTATGATTACGTTCCCTGCGTCAGGCTTGCTCAATGTAGAGGTTATACATGTGCTATTTTTATGTGTAATATTTTAGAAAAGAACATATTTGAATAATGTGTTGATTCATAGAGAATCATTGATGGACATATTGACTGCATATCCCAGTTTAAGAACGTAGTTAACCCATAATAAAGCCCACCTAATAGATTAATTTAGGCCAAGTACTTGGTATCATGTTGACCAAATAAAAGAAAATCAATCAGAAGTTTAGTTACACTTGATC